AGTAGGTCTTTGATCACCCTTCTCTTTCTTGCACTCCCTAACCCTCTTACATTCCAGCTAATAATTTTCATCGAGACAAAATAGCAAAAAACCCATGAAAAGGCCATAGTYTCCTCATTTTAGGCCCTTCCTCCTATCCCCTCTACCACTGAATTCTAAATCCCCCTCAATGTCTGAAATTAGCCTTTCCACTTCAGATATTTTTTTCTTATCTGTTCCTTTTTCCCCCCCTTCCTAATACAACAATCATCCTTTTTCTTTTCTCCACCATTTCCAGCCAATGTCTGAGAAAGAATTTTACCCTGCTCACACTTATTTTGGCTACAACATCTTTCTAAGAGTCCTTCCTTTTTTTTTTTCCTCCATCATTGTACAAATCAGCTCCCAAATTCTGTCTGCCTCCCCCTTATTACTTCCTTCCAACACCCTCTCTCCTTCTTCCACTATCACCCTCTCTCTTGCATCAGAACCTCCTGGATGGGAAGCTGGGATATCCACTTGGAAAACCTTTCCATATTTGCAACAGAGTAGTTTTCTAGGACAATGAGATAATCTCCTGCACCATATGATATTATATGTAGTCTAAATGATCACTTCTCAAATAAAATGTTAGCTACATGTGTGGTTTGTAAACCAAAAGATTAAAATACAAATACTAGAAACCAAAAGCTTTGTTTATATATGTTTGACTATTCATAGACCTAGAGGAAATCTTCTTTGTTTTGTAGACATTTAAAATAGTTTTATTTGTAATTTTGTGGATAACACTGAGGAGGAATGTCTAACAATGCAATGTGTTCTTTTCCTAGTTTAGGACTCTTAAAAATTAGAAGATGAAAATGATCAATTCGCGAATTCATTTTTTAACATCATATTAGAAGGAAAGTTCATTTCTTTGTTTGACACTACAGACTAGAAACTAAATCCATCCATTCGTGTCAATGACTTCCTAGATATGGTCACTTGCATCAGGATTTAGGAACCACATAAATCAATAAACTCCTGATTGATATTATGAATAGGTAGATATTTGACAATACAATGTTTTTTTTTTTTTCATTTTCTAGCTCAGGAGACTTAAAAATTAAGAAAATGGAAATGAATAATCCACGAGTTTATTGTTTTAGCATCATATTATAAACTAAGTTCATTTCTTTGTCTGACATTATACATTAGAAATTCATTCGTTCATGTCAGCAACTACCTAGATATGGTCACTTGTACATATGTATGGTTCATAAACTAAAAGATTAAACAAATAAAAGAAACCAAAATATTTGATTATACGTGTTTGGTTGCTCCTAAACCTAGAAGAAAATATCTTTGTTTGCTAGATATTTAAAATGGTTTCACTTGTAAATTTGTGAATAACTTTGAGGCAGATTGAATGGTTTCAATTTATTATGTCTTTGAAAGAAAGATTAAAATCTTGAACATGCATTAGGAATCGGATAAACAAATAAGCCCTAATTGATGCTAGATACCTGACAATGCAATGTGTTTGTGTGTACTTTTTTATTTTCTAGTTTGGGAGACATAAAAATTAGAAAAATGAAAATGATCAATCCGCAAGTTCATTTGTTTTAACATCATTCATTTCTTTGTTCGACACTACACATTAGAAATTAAATTCATTCATTCATGTCAATGCCTTTCCAGATCTGGTCACCTATACTTGGTGTTCCTGGTAATTTGGAACTGTTAAATAATTTTGGTAATTATGGATGCCTACATTTGGGTGTTCATCTGGGCCAAATGTACTAATGGAATAATGAAATGGGATTTGGAATATTCATTTGCTGATTTAATCTCTCTCATAAGAGATTTTATTTGCTAATTGTGTTGTTCTTTATGTTGTGCTTCTTTCTTTCCTCAATCTTATGTGTCTGTGATTAACTTGCAGGATCCCCCTTGACAGTTGCCTCTCTAGTAGAGCATTCACATCTCCATTTTCAGAAAGTAGGAGGCTAGTGTAATTCTTGATTTTTTTTCTGTGAATTTCCATCAAATTTATCATGGATGTTGATGTTCTTATAAGTGGGAGGCCAGGAGGGCCATATATCTTGATGAATTGGTGATTGGATATTGTGAATACTTCAGTTTTTTTTTGTTGGTTATGATACTATAGGTCTTTTCCTTGATAATTATTTGCTATGGTTATGGATATTTTATGCAGCTGGCTTAAAGTGCCAGATATGTTGATTGATGGTGGAGTGGATGTTAGAAGTATTCAAAATTTATATTTTTATCCTTGGTTGTCGTCCCTTTTGGAGGTTATTTATCCTTTCTGTATATTTGTTCTATTGGTGGAACCTTAGTATTATTTTTGGGAGGTAAGGAGAGCTATATCTATTTATGAATGGTTGAATGAATGTTGGGAGTGTTTCCAAATGTTTATTTTTTCTTTGTTTTGACCTCTTTTAAGGCTACTTTTTTCCTTGGTGTAATCCTTGTTGAGATAACTATTGTGCTCTCATTTTTATTTACCCCATCTTTGCTTGTAAATGGTAGTCAATGTTCTGTGATGTGCTGGATAGTTGATTATGAATGTTGGGAGTGTTTCCAAATGTTTATTTTTTCTTTGTTTTGACCTCTTTTAAGGCTACTTTTTTCCTTGGTGTAATCCTTGTTGAGATAGCTATTGTGCTCTCATTTTTATTTACCCCATCTTTGCTTGTAAATGGTAGTCAATGTTCTGTGATGTGCTGGATAGTTGATTATGAAGGGAAGGGAGATCCATCATATGGATGGCCGAACCATGCAGGGTGGCTGGGCGAAATTTCAAAAATTTCTTTCTCCCTTCCGGGAATCCTATTCCCTGATTTAGAAAAATTGCATTTTTCAAGGTTCGTTCTTGAAACAAACCGGACCAAATCTGAAACCAAGATTAAGGGAGGGATATACCTGATACGGAATCAACAGTAGTTCCCAATGTAGGTGTTCGCGCCCAAAGAGTTCACCAAATCCTTCCTCCACTGAAGATGACACAGCTTAGGGTGAGGCAGGATCAACAAAGAGATTCTTCAGCAAGAACCCTAATTCTTCAGCAAGAATCACGTAGGGATGTGAGCACAACTTCAAGATTGTTTCTTCCAACAAGAAACAATATCAAGATCCAATCTTGATCACTCCAAGAACTGGAGATCGAACAGGGTAGGGCGGTAAGAACAGAGAGAAGATTTGAGATTTGCAAAAGTGTTTAACAGAAGGATTTCTCCCTCTATTTATAATCCTTCTTGGATAAGCTTCCTAATCATATCAGGAGAGGGTTCTTTGATCCAAATCTTTATTTGGATCATAACTCTTAAGTGGATAAGACATATCTTATCCTCTTGCTGATCTAGAAGCAGATCTGATCTCAAATTCGCCCATAATTAATTAATCTAATTAGCCCATTAAGTTATCAGGCTCACTTCCTTTTAATTACTGGATCACTTGGCTCTCTTTGTATGGCTTGGGGCCCTATCATTTATCTCCACAGAAGCCATATGGGTTTAGCCTAGCCTCTGTTACAAGGCCTGGTCAAATTCACTGCCGAAGACAGTGAACCCTTGAGCCCATCAGTATGGGCTCTTAACAGGCCCAACATTTACACTAAATGGTCCCTGGGTCCAACCACCTTATGAAGGCCCAAGGACTATGGACTTATGTGAGATTAGCCCATCAGGTAAAAGCCCTAAATGGTTTTACACTTAACCTCTCAGACCTTAATGATCATACACTGCCCGACAAGAGAGGACCTCTCCCTCGGCTACAAGGTACAATGTAGCATTCTCTACTCACATGGATCTCGGGAATTAAAACCTTTTGCAAACATTTTGTGAAACCATAATATATATGTATATCTCTATATAAATATATTTTGCAAAAACAAATCTCAACAAGTTTGAAATCAACTGCCGGCAGTTTAGGTTTCCATTAAAGAGAGTGCATTCCCCGATCATTCACTTTGTTTGACAAAAGGGCTGATTCTGTCACTATGATCACCTACTCAGGTGAATTCTCAGACTGCCCCAACATACCCAGGTTTTGACCCCACTAAGGATCTCACTGATTGGTACAAAGATAGTCCAATCCGACACCTAGTGTAGTACCATAATCGAGTCTAGGGGTTAGGTGTAACTTTTCAGTTTTGCCCATCTGTCTCCAAGGTCTAGGGCATAATTGGAAAATAGTCCGGTTCAGGGTTTCAAGCAAACCCACACTACATGTGCTTCAGGTCTCACCCTGGCAGCTGAGACAAGCCACCCCAATCGACTTGGCAGCACATTAGTGTCAGCCTTGGCAGGATAAACCTCCCTAGGTCTATCCAACAACTGTGAAGATTCTAAACTCACACGAGTCTCATAAGTGTCCAGTTTAAGGGTAATACACAGAAACACACCATAATAACATGAATCAATTATGTATTTTATTCATTTACAATAAATGCCAATAATATACATCAATTTGATTGGAGCTACGGGCATACACTGTCTAACAGATTACCCCCACTTTTATCCATTTCCCTTTGGTAATATTTGATCTCTGTAACAATCTTTTCCACAAAGTGAGTCAGTGATGGCAATCAGCTGATCAAGAAAGTGAGGGAATGCCTGCCCATTGGCCATAATTGGGTCTTCTTTTGTTGCCATATTGTTTTCTCATTTTCTTTTTCTATTTGCCCTTGCATTTTTTTTTTGAAGATAGTAAGTCATAGTTCTCCCCTTCATTATACATCTCATATAATTTGTTTGGTTTAGCACTTAAAGTGTGAAATTCCTTGTGATTATGCTGTTTCTTCAGTTCTGGAAGCGAGACATACATGAAAGTCATGTTCTCTAGAATTATGCTTTAGTTGCAAGTTTTGGGTTGTTTTAGTTTTTATGCTTTATGGCTAATTAGCCAAATATGCTGCAATGTTTTGGGCATGTTTTAACCAATTTTATATTGCTTCAGAAATCCTGATTTAGTCTTCCTTGGATTAGATGAAAGAGAGTAGAGATGGAACCAGAGGTGGTAGAGTTTCAAAGTCATCGTCTATTACCTCACTTCCACTTATGCTGGACCTAGATGACTTTAAGGTAAAAGGCAAGGATTAAAATATCAGTATGCTTGATACCAAAATTTGGTATCGATGTGTATCAATATGCCCACTACTCCAAGTTATTTTATTTATTTATTTAATTTTTTTACTTTTTTCATTTTAATAGGATTATAGTGGTGTGATTAATCATCCCAAAGTTTTAAAAGTTTATGTATTGGTGTATCCATGTGTATTTGGAATACTGGATGCACCGATACAGATCGATATTTTAATCCTTATAAAAATGTTTTTTTGCATTTGAAGATTCTGAAAATGGTTTTATGATTTGTAATTAGGAAGCAACAAAATTGCCAAGGGTGATGCCACGACAGTGCAGAGAATGACATTTAGCCTGTCCCTAGCATCTAAACTATTCAAAGCATGCCTTAAGAGTTATAGGCATGTTTCAGGGTTCCATTAGATGGCTTAGCCTTTGAAAATTGATTAAAATAAAGGTTTTCAGATTCTTTTGCTATTAGTTCATTTAGATTGACTATTGATCTTTTAGTGTGACTTTTCCTTTTAGGGTGATTTCTCTTTTGATGCATTATTTGGAAACCTGGTAAATGAACTCCTCCCATCATTTCAAGAAGAAGATGCTGATTCATCAGAAGCCCAAAGCGGCACTGTAGGAAATGATGTTTTGCCCAGTGGACATCTGCGAGCTCCATCTGATGCAGCAAAGTTTGCACAAGGACTTTTCTCTCCCTTATTTCCAGAAGTAGATGCTCTCTTATCTATATTCAAAGATTCTTGCAGGGAGTTGATTGACCTTAGAAAGCAGGTATATCATCTGGGCTTGGGCCAGTAGACTATTTAAGCTTGTCCAGATTGTTAATCGATGTTTCTCTTTATCTACTGTGAGTTGAAGATTGATGCAAGACTGAACAATCTCAAGAAGGAGGTTTCTGTCCAAGACTCCAAGCACCGCAAGACTCTGTCTGAGGTTAGTGTATTGAAAGGAATAAGTTAAGAGTTTTCTAGTCAATTTAGATAACCCAAAAGACTAGATAATATGATGTTTACTTAACTTTCACAACATTATATGTCTTTATTTTTATTCAAAATTTTGCAAGCTGCTTTCAAAAGGAAAACATTCAACTTTTTTTTTGATGAATAACTGAATTATTTTATTAAAAAAGAACCAAAAAAAAGGGAAAGTGGATCCCTATGGTTTTCCACCAATCCCCATTGTACAAGAGTTATTAATGGAGGACCTACTGAAATTGAGCTCAAGCATTTCTCCTTTTACTGTCTAGAGTGGACCAATTGGCCTTTTCTTCTCTTCCTTTTGTATGATGGATTTACACCTATAGTAAACCCAGAAGTTCTGAAATCACAGAAGAGTTCTTCAAATTATATGTTTGTAGAGCTTGTGAATCAAATATCCATTTGGATTGGAAAGTTTTAATTTAGGGGCCATTACTTGGCGTTATGGTAAAATCTCGGGCTGACAGGCACGGGAATGTGAGGTTGAGTCTGAGAGCAGCCACTTTGTGCAAAAAGGTTAGGTCTGTATCCAGTTCACCCCTCCCAAGACTGATAGCTGGGACCAACATTCGGTAATTGCCTTTCTTATTTAAAAGTTAATTTTTGTTTTTTCATCATTCAGTTGGAGAAAGGTGTAGATGGCCTATTTGATAGCTTTGCCAGGCTGGATTCTCGTATCTCTAGTGTTGGGCAGACTGCTGCTAAAATTGGAGATCATTTGCAGGTAAAGTGTGTGTCTGTATTTTATAATGATTAGTTACCGAGCTTTCTTATTCCATTTCATGCATTGCAGTTAGGGCTATATGAAATCATGGTTTTACTGATGGTTGGAATGGGATTTATGTAGCATCCATTGTTTTAATAAATTTTGTTGTTGCTCATCAGAGTGCAGATTCCCAGAGAGAAACCGCTAGTCAAACAATAGAGCTGATAAAGGTAATCCTAGAAATCTTTCAGAATTGTCCCAGTTGTAATAATTTTTTACTTTGTTGCCATCCTCTGCATAATTAATTTCCTAACGTCAAGATTGTAATGAATTCCTGCAGTACCTGATGGAGTTCAATAGCAGCCCAGGGGATCTGATGGAACTTTCACCTCTGTTTTCTGATGATAGTCGTGTTGCAGAAGCTGCTTCAATTGCACAGAAATTGCGTAAGATGAAATTCTTGACTTGTAAAGTTGTAATGTGTCCATTTCAATATCAATTTAAGTTCTTAAGTTATGGACATTCTGAAAATATTTGAAATTTTCTGTGCTAAAAGGATCTTGTTTGAAGCAGTGAATCATGCTAATCATTTCAAKAAAAGTCTACTTGTGCTGCTTTCATTAATGAATTGATTGTGAAACATCATTAGAGTTATTCCACAAAATTAAAGATATTTAAAGAGCACATTTTGTTTCTATGTTCTTTTTTTTTTTATATCAATACTGTTTCCTCTTTTCTTGTCATAACAGGAGTGACTATTAACCATTACTTTGTTATGTCTTTTTAGGGGCATTTGCCGATGAAGATGTTGGAAGACATGGCATAGCTGTACCATCAGTGATGGGAAATGCAACAGCAGGAAAAGGTCTGGAAGTTGCAGTTGCAAATCTTCAAGACTACTGCAATGGTGGGTTTACTTGTACCTGCTACTTTTCTATTTTATCCTTTCTAAATAACATATAACTTATTTGGCCTTTTTGCCTTGGTTTCTTCAGAACTGGAGAATAGATTATTGACTCGATTTGATGCAGCTTCACAGAGGAGGGAATTATCAACAATGGCACAATGTGCTAAAATTTTGTCTCAGGTAATTCAGAGGTTTGTAGAAGGTTGTATTTTGATGTCATCACCCTACTTTTAAGTACCTTACACCTTATGGGTTAATTAGCTACAGACTGACCAACTTTTGAATTATGGCTTCTTTATCTGCTTGGATGATACAAACATTGCATCTGCTTTGCTCAAAAGAAATGTGTGTATTCAACATGTGGGATAGGACTGCTGAGTTAATCTCTAACTTGTGTTATTGTTTGACTTGGTTGCCATCCATGCATTGAATGGATAATGAATAATATAAAATAAAAATTGTTGAAATATGGCCTTATTTTTAAGAATTGATATGTTTACATTGTCATTATTATAGGTCTTGTGTTTTCATTACTATAGGACTTATTATATGGATACATGACCAGGGTGTTCTAGTCTTTTTCATTGTTTTACAAAATAATATAAACAGAGGAAAAAGGCCACATGTCTCATGCTTTTTTCTTCTCTCTCAAAATTGATTTCTTCTTCTCTCTTCCTTCTCTATTTATTTCACTAAATTTCTATATTTCTGAGTTAACCAGATAAGTTTGTATTAGAGTGAAGCTCCTTTTTGTGTGTCTATAGGGTGAAATGTTTGTAGTTCTTGGCTCAATGGGTTGCATGGAGATTTGAAGAGGTTGATCAATCTATTCTAGATTGTCTGGTTTTTGGAGGACTTTTGGAGAATTAATTGGAGATTGCTTGATGCCTATGTTATGCAGATACAACAAGGATATGTCTGGACACAGAATTTACACTAAAACTTGAAGTATCTGATATGATACAACACCCTTGTACAAGTACCCGGGTATCATAGTTTGGTGTGCAAGAGGAAGCCTTGAAAATTTTTCCTAAAAATCAAGAACCCAATATTTTATTTTAAATTTTTGTACAGCTTTACTGATATGTTTGATATTTCTATAGAGAATGGTTTTTGTTTTGTTGTGGTTTAGGGTGTTTGAAGTGGGCTCCCCTTATTTCTCCCCTTTATTGGCACCAGTAGGGTGTTCTCCCTTGTTTCACACCCTAGAGTTAGTTATAAAATACTGTGTGATAAAAGAAAGGAAGGAAAAAGAAAAGAAAAGAAAAGAAATGAAGAGGAGAAGAGGAGAAGAAGTGTTTGTTGACAGAATGAAGTGTGTTACTGTTCACACCCAGAAACTTGGTATTTGAACATAATGAAGAAATTACAAAAAATGCTCATAACTAGGCATCCTAATGCAAAAAAAAAAAAAAAGAAAAAAAACATATAAAAGGATGAAAATTCCCTTACACTCTCAATGCTCCCCCCTCAAGTTGAGCATAGATATTTATCATGCCCAGCTTTCTCAAATTGTTGTCAATTTTTGGCTTTTTTTTTTGATCAATAACACTTTCATTAATTCATCAAAGAAGATTTACAAAAGGAAGACAAACACGCTTATCTTCCAAGAGCAACAAAGAATCTCAAGAAAAGGAAAAAAGAAAGAGAAAAGAAAGAAAACACACTAAAGTTACAGCTTGGCCCAAAAAAGTGAATCCCTTTCTGCCCCTTGTTTAGC